AAAATCTTTTCCCATAACAAGAGATATATAGATAATTGAATTTTCTTTTTAAATAATCTCACTGACTACACATTTCCTTCTCAATGACCTACAACTTTGTTTTTCATCTTATGCTTATTTTTTCGAGGCCAGGGACAAACAGCATATTAGCAGATTAACATAAAATGGCCTAAATATTATTTTGTACTAAGAAAATAATCAGACAGCAGCGGTGGCCGCAGTAGTAGACTCTTCGGTCTCCTGATCAGTCGCCGTGAGCTGTGCGGTACAGATTTCTGTAATTAGAAATATTTATGTAACTAAATAGGAACCTGTGATACGACGCTACCTAACTCCTCCTATGATTAATAGATAGCACCACCCAACAACGTTACAGGTTTCTATTATTAGATCTCAGAAATCTATAACGACATATATCTTTGGTTATGTCTTTCGTGGATAGATGGCGCATAATAATGTTCACAGATCAAAAAATTCCCCAAATTTGTTAAAATTCCTAAGTTTAGGAAATTTGAAGTTTGTAAATGGAAACCACCCCGCGTCATTTGTTTTTAATCAATCTGCATTCAGCATTTTTTAGCAGGCAGGGGCAAATAAAAGGCGTGTTTTCGTATTATCACTTTTATTCAAGTTCTAAGTGATGAAAAACAATGAAGCAGCAAAAGTATTCAATTCAGAATTAAAAATTAAACTGTAAAAAAAATAAATACTACAAAGTTACAAAAAACGAAAAAAGAATAAATATGGCAAATAAATTAACTCCAGTCGACAAGGCGTGAAATATTTCTGTGGAAAGAATCGTAGGTAAAAGCAATATCAAAAATAATACATATTAAATGTTTTTAATAAAATAGATAAATCTGGAATAACATTTTTATTGAAAACTTTATGTAAAAGCACCCAAAGCAAAGGAAGTTATGCAGTCAACATCCTACAATGGAACCTACTTTCCAACAAAATTGTCGCTGAAAAGAGACCATATATGTACTTCGAAAATAACAAATACTCGTAAACAGTTCTATTTTCCAGTTTCTCAATAAATCTATTAACTTTTCTATAAAGAAAAAGGTCATTGATCTGTGGTTAGGTTTCAATCAAACTGTAGGTGTTACTTTTAGGTAGAAAACAGACGGATCGACTTTTGTCGACTCGACCGTCGAGTCGGCGGTCGAGTCGACGCATGGTGTAAATAACTTTATATATAATGAAACACACAGATACTCGACGCGGCGCCCCGCCGCTTGAAGTCGAGTTGACATATGATTTCCCGCGACTTTGCAGCGGCACTCGACGCGGCATCGACACATCATGCCATGTTCTGAAGTGTATCAATTCAGACGCATTTTATTTCGAAATTCACACACGTAAGTACTGAATCACACGATGGAATATGTTGGATCACGGATTTTATAAATTCTGCTATCTTCTCAAATTAAAAGATATTTATTTTGAAACAATATCTTTTTTTTAATTTTGTATTCATTTAGATTTTAGGGATGGCACACGAAATAGACCCAGACCTCATAACAGTATTTTCTTTTCTTAATTTTTGTTCTATAGCAGTGAGAAGTTCATAAAAAGAAAACTGGGACATTCTTGTGAAACTGAAAAATTTTTCTTCGTCCTGTTTTAGCTGTGGCCACAATATAGTAAAAAAGCCTTTCTCTTTGCGCTGTGAAATAATTGGATGAATCCAGAGACGCCTCCCTTTTTTTTTCTTCATTCGTCTCCGGTAAAACAAGTACAGTAGCATTACATATTCATCATCTAGGTCTAGGTCCATTGCTTTTTTGATTGAACACTACTAGCAAACCTGCTCTCGTTGCCAGGGACCGTGGGCCGCGTCGAGCTTACCGCGGATATGACACGCGACTGCCTCCTCGCCGAAAGTGGTCGCCCCGTTTGAACATTTTTTTCGACCGTCGACTCGACGGTCGAGTCGACGAAAGTCGCTCCGCTCCGTCTGTTTTCTACCTAAGGTAGAGGTAGAAAACAGACGGATCGACTTTTGTCGACTCGACCGTCGAGTCGGCGGTCGAGTCGACGCATGGTGTAAATAATTTTATATATAATGAAACACACAGATACTCGACGCGGCGCCCCGCCGCTTGAAGTCGAGTCGACATATGATTTCCCCGCGACTTTGCAGCGACACTCGACGCGGCATCGACACATCATGCCATGTTCTGAAGCGTATCAGGCATTTTATTTCGAAATTCACACACGTAAGTACTGAATCACGCGATGGAATATGTTGGATCACGGATTTTATAAATTCCGCTATCTTCTCAAATGAAAAGATATTTATTTTGAAACAATATCTTTTTTTTTAATTTTGTATTCATTTAGATTTTAGGGATGGCACACGAAATAGACCCAGACCTCATAACAGTATTTTCTTTTCTTAATTCTTGTTCTATAGCAGTGAGAAGTTCATAAAAAGAAAACTGGGACATTCTTGTGAAATTGAAAAATTTTTCTTCGTCCTGTTTTAGTTGTGGCCACAATATAGTAAAAAAGCCTTTCTCTTTGCGCTGTGAAATAATTGGATGAATCCAGAGACGCCTCCCTTTTTTTTTCTTCATTCGTCTCCGGTAAAACAAGTACAGTAGCATTACATATTCATCACCTAGGTCTAGGTCCATTGCTTTTTTGATTGAACACTACTAGCAAACCTGCTCTCGTTGCCAGCGACCGTGGGCCGCGTCGAGCTTACCGCGGATACGACACGCGACTGCCTCCTCGACGAAAGTGGTCGCCCCCTTTGAACAATGTTTTCGACCGTCGACGAAAGTCGCTCCGTCTGTTTTCTACCTTAGTCTATTGACATTAAAAATTCTTTTTCCATTTTCCAAAAAATACTTCACGCTATAAAATCGACTTCAGATCTGTTTTTCTCTTGCTAGACGTTTACCACTTGGCGTCTGAAGTATTACATTACAACCAATCGAGTGGAGGAAAAGAAAGTTTAAGTACAATGCTTCCAAAAAAATCCCGAAAAAATTAAAAAGACCTTCTCTGTAACAAAACATTTCGTATTATCAATAAAATGAGCTCCATGAGAAAATAATTCTTACCTCAAAATTTCAAAATATAAAAACCGAAAGTGGAAATTCTCGTGTCTTGCCAGACATTAAAACCAGAATATGTGCCTCATTGTACAGGGAGATTTACCCTGGTGGGTCAAACAACCATTTTGGAAACTCCAAAGGAGGAAGAGGAAAATTGGATATCACAAAACAGAAACGCCGCCTAAAACATTTCCCATCGATATTTTTCACAAATTTTCATGTAGTTTCATTGATAAGTTTCATAGTTTTTTAATTTGACAAACACTAAATAAGCAGCTGAAACAGTCAGGTTTTTTCTTGAGAATACTTCTGGAAATGTGATTTTTGCATGTAGTACACCAGTTTTCAATATAAAAAAACAACACTGGATTATGCAACTCACAGTAAGAGCATCAAGAGTGTCCATAATGGACTGGAGCCTGACTGTCATACATATGGACGCACGCGCATAGAAAGTTTATGATGATTCCCACTACAAACCAGCGCAAATACCCAGCTAAAACAAGGATGTAAAAAACATGTTTCATAAGGAATGGATGTCAAAAATCGAATTCGATGGAAAACTTTTACATCATTTGTCTCTGTAGTGCTGTAATATGCGACTTAGTCTGCAAAATGCGGTCTTCAAGGAACTAGAAAGTTGTAATTCTAGCACACTGGAAACACGCCTTTAAATATCCTATCCTCATTCCAAAAATAATCCGAAAAAAGAAAGATCATGCTTATCTTCACTACACCCTGCCCATGCAAAGAACAAAATCGACCAATACAGACGATGAGTATATCGTGTGAACATGTTGACACCTGACAGTCCCGTATTGACATACCAAATATATATGTACAGTACCACTTTCTAAAAATGTTTATTGAACAGAATATGCAATTAAAAGATACATTTATCAGAGATCATTTCGAGTCAGCCATCAGCAAGCTACTTTTCAGAAAAATCAGTACCCTTGTGCTTATACATATAAAAAATATATAGAATGGTCTAAAAGAACACAACCATTGTTTTCTTTCCATATCATAATGATTTCCATCAAATTTTTTAGCACCATTGATAACATATTCTACATGAAGATAGGCAACCAGCCCAATAACTTTCTCTAGGTTAGCAGCTAGCATTAGTGATATTTACATATTTGCGTTTTTAAAACGTCCCTTTATTCTCATGTTTGAGTAACTTTTCCAAGATATTTTCGCATCTCAAAAAATGGCTGTGCAGCTTAAACAACTTTTTGTGAGTAAAACATTAGAGGTTAGGTTTGTGTTTGCAAACATTTGAGAGTCTTGCAATAGCTAGGTGTATGATATCCACCGCAGAGTTCAGTCTCTACAATATTGAGTTAAAATTGAAACCATGTTTTAACATAATTTTGGAACATTTGTTTTTGATATATTTTCCAATCATTTCTCTTGCAAGAAGACCACATTTGTATTTTAAACCTACATTTTTAAAATTAAACCTTTATCAGCTTTTGGGAGGAAGTTACACAAGAAACACAAATCAAAACTGCTTTATTTTGAGTTGGACCAATTCAGATTTGGAAAGGACTAAATCAAAGTTATCTTTATGTACAAATAAATATTTTCTTCGCAGAAGAGTGGGATATTTTAAACCCACATTTTTTAAATTAAACCTATCTAAGTTTTTGAGCTGCTTCTGGGAGAAAGTAACAAAAAGAAGCACAAATCAAAACTGCTGAATTTAGAGAGCGATTTTCTTAGCAGAAATGTGGAGTTTGTAAGGTATTTTGAAGCTACATTTTTGAATTTAACCCTTTATAGGTTTTTGAGCTGATTTTGGGAGGAAGTTGCAAAAGAAGCACAAATCAAAACTGCTGGATTTTGGGCTGTGCCAATTCAGATTTGAAAAGGACCAAATCAAACTTATCCCAATGTATATATAAAGATTTTCTTCACAGAAATGTGAGATTTGTAAGATGCTTTAAACTTACATTTTTGAAATTAAACCGTTATCGGTTTTTGAGCTGCGTTTGGCAGAAAGTTAGAAAAGAAGCACAAGTCAAAACGGCTGGATTTTATTTTGGACCCACTCAAATTTTGAAAGGACTGAATTAAAGTTACTTATATATGAATACAGATTTTCTTCACCGAAATGCAAGATAGGTACTAGTTATTCGCGTTACTTTTTCACTTTTTGCTGCATTATTTTATTTCGTCTTGTGGGTTGTGGTGTTATTTGAGAGTTCCTATGAAGGATAAAAGAGCAAATAAAAAGTGCAAAAGAAACACAAATCAAAACTGCTGAATTATGAGTTGGACAAACTCAGATTTGTAAAGGACAAAATCAAAGTTATCCCTATTACTTTTTTACTTCCGCAGCATTATTTTATTTCATTTTTGTGATCTTAGTTGTTCTTTGAGATTTCATATGAAAGATAAAAGAGCAAATAAACAGTGCTACTACAATGGTGTTTCAGTTTAACTAGCTGCTGTATGGACTTGCCATTTTTTTTTTGTTGTAAAACATTTAGCAGTTACGCCTTGTATATGAAAAATAAGCGACACGAATACAGTAAACATACTGCAGACAAATCATCCAAATCAGATATTTGATACTGACAAGAATACGCTGCAAGCTTGACTTTTTTGTTATTATGCATAGATTCATTATTTTAAGGTTCACTCATGTCGGTAAATGAGGTTTAATTTATAGTTCAGAATTCCGCGCTCTTTCTGCACGTAAGCCGCTTATGTCCCTTAGGACTTGATACATTATTATTTTGGTGAAAGTTGAAAGTGAAATATTGCAGTTAAAGGTAAGTGCTTCAACAGAAACAGTAGTCCTTAACCTTCGCAAAACTTGTGAGTTTGAGAAAGTATCTTTATAGGTTACAAAAATCTAACCTAAAATATGAATCTTGTACATAGGCAGAAATACGGGCCAAATTTCTGCACGGCGGTAGGCCATATTTTTGACCATTTCATCCGTCTATCCTAATTCAGTTTTTTGTTTTTCAGGTCGAAAATAGGGAAATTATGTAGGGGAGTTCGAGGAAATTGGACTCAAGATATGATGTCGGAGGCTTTACAACTTCTTAGGAGCGGTAAAAGCCAACGATACGTGTAGCAAAAATGCGGAATTCCTAGAACCACGTTACGGAATCATATAAAATCTGGTCTTAGCGATAGAATATTAGGTCGTAAACCTTTACTTACTTTCGAACAAGAGGGAGAGTTGGAAGCTCGCATTTTAAAGCTCTCTCGTTTAGGACTACCACTCACTCCAAAATCCGTGCGAAGAAGTGTCTACCAGTTTTGTATAACCAACAATATTTCACATAAATTCAATAGCTCAAAAGAGATGGCTGGGTTCACGTGGTATAAAATTTTTTTGGGGCGGCATCCAAAAATATCGAAGAGTTAAGCTCAATCCATGAATGCTGCGAGGGCTCAAAAATTAAATCACGTTATTGTGAGAGACCACTTTGATAAATTGTTGAAAGTCCTTAACGAATTAAGCATTCGAAACTCACCACAGCGGATATATAATCTTGATGAAAAAGGGTGCCGCCTAACTTTACATTATTCTCAGTTAGTCTTGGCATCCAAAGGGGAACGCAGGGTCCACAATATCTGCAATGAACATGCAGAGAATGCAACAATTGTTGCTTGTGTTAACGCTCTTGGGCAGGCTGTGCCGCCTATGTTAATATTCAAAGGCTTGCGGAAAAGGACTCTTACAGCGACAATTTGCCTCCTGGGTAGATACTTGAAATGTCTCCTAAAGGCAGCATGACACGAGAAATATTTCTTAAATGGTTGCAGCATTTGTCAAAGTATAAACCTGCTAGTAAGGTTCTTCTGATTTTGGATGGTGCCTCCTGCCATTTAGATATCTTAATCGTGGAAGCGGCTGAACAACATGACATTTCACTTTACTGTTTACCGTCAAATACGACGCATGAACTACAACCGCTGGATAAGGCAGTTTTTCGTAGTTTCGAGCATTATTGGGATATTGAGTTGATGAAGTACTGGGAGAGTAATCCTGCTGCAATGAGAGTATTAAAAAAGGAGAGATTTGGACTTGTTTTTACCAAAGTTTGGCAACAAGCAATGACGATACGCAACATTCAAAGTGGTTTCAGGTCAACAGGAATGTTTCCCTTCGACCCGGATGTTATTCCAGAGACTGCTTTTGCTCCATCTACCTTGACACATAAAGACATTCCTGAAGTGATGGATGCTGAAGCGGAAAGTTATAATAGCTCAGATGATGATCTGCCACTTGCATATTTCCTTAAGAATAATAATCCATCAACAAGAATGAAAATAGATGAAAAATCGAGTGCTGGTTCTTCTCACTGGACTGATCAACAAGCGTCTGCTATTACATCTGATACGAATAAAAAAATTAATATTTTAAATGTAACTATTATCAAGACTAAAATGCAGGACTCCGTAAATAAAGGAGCAAAATGTTCAGCACCTGAGAAAAATTTGAATTTCTCAGAAATCCTGAACACGAGAATCAAGACCAAACAGGAAGGCATTAAATTATAAACCGCAGCTGTTAAAAAGAGATATTTACCGAACACTCATATCAAGCAAACTCAACGAAGTCGTCAACAAGCCAATCAAAGCCGAAAGAAAATTGGCTATGTGGCGGGTGCAATGAGGATTCTGTAAGTGATATGCGACAGTGCGCCAGTTGCCTATTGTGGATCCACGAAATATGCGTTGGATTGACTGCCGAGGACACAGAATGTTTTATTGCTCTAATTGTTCGTCTGAATAATTAAGTTAATTGAGACCCATATTTCTAACCACGCTTCGGAACTTGGGCCATATTTCAGCGAAAGTCAGAAATATGGCCCAAAATTTTATTTCCTTTACAGTTCTTCTACACGTTGCGAATAAAAATATTTTTTTTATTTGTTGGCATTTATTTTTGTATTGCTCTCGGACTGAAACTGGGCCATATTACCCGACTGTACCTATAGCTCAAAAATAACGCATCTGTAATTGTTTTACTTTCCAAACTGCATCTCTACTAAACACGCTTTTCAACGTTTCAATTGATTGTTATGTCCTGCTACTGTCTCATATCTGTCCCAAATTCTTCATGTGGAATATGTTGATCAAAGGTTGCAAGATTTATTGTACACATTGGCTACCAAGAATAAATAATTTGAATTTTCGCTTTGTAAAACCTGTGTGATGAAAACCAATGTGTAGCGAAACAGCAATAGATGAAACGGGACAGTTTTCATTGAACTTCAGACTATCCTGTATAAATAGGTATAGGAAGGGGCTGATATACCTCCAAGTTTCGGTACCACAATTATAAATAATCATATCACATCAGTTTAAGCTAATAAACGAGATTACGAAAAGTATTACGCAAATAACGATCAACCTCTGTCGTTCTCCGTCGCACAAATTTTCCATTTTTTGTAAAATTCACTGCACTTTTATGTTCCATACTCGGAAAACGTAATCCAGGAACAATGGTTGAAAATAGTTACGAAAAATTGCGGTTTCAAACGATTTATCCAAATGAGTGTCAGATCCTAACAATAAAAATATTTTCACAAATATCAAAATATTTACAAAAAAAGTTGCATTAATTCATCATTAAAGTAGGCACTCAAAATGTCAGCTGTCAATCTATGTTTGCACCTGAAGATTTCAAAACAGAGCTGGAGGTATATATCAAATCACAATTTTCAACGGAAAAATATCACAACTAATTACGTATGTAATTAAAATAAATGGACGAAACACTACAAGTTTAGCTTCAAAAATGTGTATATCTTGATCGCATTAACGAAAAAATGGCCCATGCATGCTAAAAAGTGGGTACCTCCTTCAAAAGCCATCTTTTTGAAATCTCCAAAATCTCTGATTATATAAAACTAAACAAAAACACTAAAAACGTCATCCAACAATGAAAATTTCTTACACCAATTCATTATGTGATGTCCTGATGAAACTATATGCGAGGCTGAAGCATTGGCAAGAATTCTCAGTCTAGTAAAAACCACATCTAAATATTGTAGTTCGGAGGATTTGAAATTTTGAAATTGGAAAATCGGTAAAGAGAACGACATAGGCATAAACTTAACAAAAAAGAATATAGCATCAGCACATGATACCGTTACTCAATATGATGGGTCGAGAAGTCGAGATAGGGAAGAAAAAAATGATAAGGGGGTTCAAAAATCGGGATACGACTAAAAAAAAATGTGGATATTTTGACAAAATATCGGTTCAATTAAACGGCCGTGAGTAGACTGTCGCGAAAGAACTCACAGATTTGTAACCTGTGATTTAATGTAATGACATTTTTCTATTCTGTGTATCTAGCAGGAACAGTCTGGACTACTCAGGATATATGCGTAATTTTACAGATAAAAAGTCTTCAAAATTTGGCGCCAATTACCTGGGTAAAATAAACAGTGTAACTTATCCTTGAGGCGAAACCTGTATTACCTGTTTTTCAAATAAATCTTCGATTTCACAGTATATACAAATAAATGTGCTGCAAGTCACTCCATTCTACAAAATATTGAACTCCTAAGAAGGGACATTACAAACGATTTTACACCACTATATCCACATTTTTTCAATTAGTTTTCATATGTGAAGTTTGGCAAGAAAATCCACAGATTATATGTGTTTGAACCGAAAATGTACCAATCGAATCGAAGGTGTTTTGTGGTTTTGGCATAAATACTATAAAATATGTAAACTTTCTTGCTCAAACTGTCACCTTCCCAATTTGCGCGTTCGATTTGTCGATACGATCGGAAGAAGAGACTGATAGACAGGATGCGACCATTTTGAACAAACCATTTTAATGATGTTAACTTTTTGATGTTAATAGTACTTGGTGGTAACATATCACCAGTCAGTGCGTCTAGAATTGCCACAGATGTGAGAAAGCATTGATTAACGTAACCTGAAGAAAGCCAACCTAATTTCAAAGTAGATTTCTAATTAGTGTGGGGAGGAGAACAATGGCTGTGATAAATTCTCATAGATGATGCTATGGTATCCTATATCATATCGAATAACCCAGCTCCGTAAAATAAAAAATGGTATGTGCGTGGGGTGCCACTATGTCTTCCCCATGTACTTGTTCACGCTGAACACGAATCTGAAGTCAAAATTGGGGGTCGCTGGACAAATAAGAAAGTAACTGAGATTGTCATTGCTGATGGATATTCATCTTTAAGGGATCTAAAGAGATGCACATCCACCAAAAATGCCAAAATGTGGGATATTGTCTGAATTACATTCTTATTTGTCCAGCAACCCGCAATTCTGACTTCAGATACGAACACGAGTTCACCAGGAAAATACCACTTTTTAGTTTTGTGGTCCTGATGGTTTTCATAGTTTTCATACGATTTTTCTAAAATTTGTCCTGCGATCGTCAATTCTGACTTGATTTGTGTTCAGCGAGAAAAAGTGCATGGGGAAAACATAGTGGGACCCCAGGCACATACCACTATATGTTGTGGGCCTGTGTAAGTGTTAAAGCTTTGTTTAGCACCGTTTGCGCTTTACAATTCCTGAAAACGAGAGGGGTGGGCCTTGTTCCAGCACTTTTCTTATAGCTTTTGACATTTATGTAATACTTATTTGCAGCCATTTTCGGCAAGATAGTTAAGACCCTAGGTTTTTCATATCATTAAATGTTTCGTGGCAAAATTAACATCAACATAACTCTTGAAACATATCCTGTGTTTCTTATGGTCACAGAACTCCTTTGTATGGCTCAAGAAAACCACATGTATGTTTAAATTCATTTTTATTGTACGACGTTTTGACCACCACGATGCGCTTTTTCAAGTACTGTCATTATTGAACTTGAAAAAGACCACCATGGCAACAACTTCGTACAATAGTTTCATTGGGCCAGACAATGGAGTCCTATGAAAATTAACTTCGTTAGACATCAGAATACGGCTAGACTCCCGCTTTCAATAACCTACAATATTTTCCAAGGGAATGTCATGGAAAGTAACTGGCTCATCAAGGTCAAAGAATACAATTTCTCGAAAGGTGATGCCCACTTTCTATCAGTTATTCTATTCCCTCGTTTTGAAAAATTAGACAAGGGTTGTGTTATAAGGATAAAGTGGTAGATTAACGATCGTTTGTCTGTGTGTCTATGTTCTAATGCAGTATTACATCGAAACTTGTTGATATTAGATAAAACGTGATGATATTCCCATGATTATAAATACCTTACTTCAATAAAGCTCTTGTATTTGGAGTGAAATAATGTAAGAAAGAGATACAAAATTAGTCAAATTGGAGCAACATTTTAGTTACATATATCAAAAAGCCGCACCTACAAAAATGTTGGATTCAAAGGGTTTTCGGAAATAAACAGATAATTCCGGAAATATTTTTTTTGACACGCGTACTGTTCCAGAAATGAAAAATCAATTGTTGACCGACTCTGTTAAAGACGATCTTTACAACAACAAAAAAGAGAAACTTCATTTGAAATGTTAAATTAACAGCTACATATTCCCAGAGCTACTGATTAAATACCCGATACACAGGAACATTTTCAAAATTATACCTTGCAATAAAGGTAGTTTTTAAAATAAAGTGACAATTTGAATCATATTATTTTTTGACATGGTGTAAGTTAAATAAAGTCGAATTCAACTACCATTATGATCTGTTCACGAAAACTGGCTTTTCTATCTTCGAACGTTTGTTTTCTGAGTGATTAGACATATTGTATACACTGGTAATAACCGGTAGCTCAAAAAAATGTTTCATTATCTAACCAATTTCAACAGAAAATATTGATACAAGAGCCTATGTGTTAATGTTCGCTAGTGTCTTTTGATAAGTGTTTCAATTGTTGCTAAAATCGCTGACCTAAAATGTCTGCATATTTTCGAAATCAAAAAATAAGGCAAACTGCGAAGTTTCGGGCGGACATTACTACTAGCAAGCAGGTTCTTTGAAATATCTCTTTAAACGACTGTTTGGCATGTTCAAATCAAAGTGAGCTAACTGCTGGTATGTTAGTTATTACCACCACAACCGTCAAATAACAAACAAACTTTAAAATGGGCAGTTCAAAATACTCGCAACCTTCCTACATATACAGATAGAAAAAAATGGAGATGGGCAATGACAAAACGAACGTGAACGAAGGAACGAAGGAACGAACGAACGAGGAGGATCGACAAGAGTTTTAGGCTTCGGTGGACGCGACCAGCGACCCTTTGGGCGTGTAGGCCGTCGCGTTGGGGTCCAAATTGGAGGGGGGACTTTCGGCCAATCGCACGCGACTGATTGTACTGGAGGCGGAGCCTGTTGACAGCCCCAGAGTGTCGTTCGGCATTACCGCCAACACTTGGGCGATCTTCGATTTCAGCTCTTCGATCTCCTTTTCTTGGGCACGATTCGCGGCTGAAAAAAAAAGAACGATCAAAACAGATATATAACAACTAAATTAATCCCAACATTTACAAGTTTATAGAGGGACAATGGAAAATACAAAATAACACTCTTGAACATAATACTACAACTGAACATTCACATCAACAATGGCACCATATTAGATTCAATAAATGGTAAGTTCGTAAATTTGTTGACTACATTTTGGCAAGACACAGATATGAATAAAATTAAGATAAACATTGATAGTGATTTAAAGTAAATTAAAAAATGGTGTGACAACAATTACTTGACTTTCAATCTTATAAGACACAATTTATGACATTTAAATGCTTTCTTGATTTTAAAAATGTTGATAACAGATTGATACACAAAACAGACACCAACTGTTGAGACTGAACATTGATCATAAATTAGATTTTACTAATCATGTAGATAAATTGCTAGCAAAGATTTTCGTTATTATAAGAACAATTAGTTATAACGTGATGAAAAGCACAGTCTTAAGCAGTTATATACTTAGATTAATTTGAAAGTAGATTGAGATATAGCATTCCTTTTCAGTGTATCTATTCCCAAAAATGTTTTGAAGAAGTGCTTATTCTATAAAAAACGAGCTATTAGATATGTAACTAAAAGCAATAGTAGAGCTATATGCAGGTCTTTATTTGTAAATCTTAAAATAATGACTGCCGTATCATTGTTCATTTTAGAAACAAAAAATCTAAACATGTAACAATAAATATTAGTTGCAATATTCAACGAAAACAAGATTTTAAATTAGTAGTCTCTAAATCAACACTTGTGAAAGGCTCAATAATTTATAATCGTCTGAAAATTTACATGTGTCTACAATTCCCCTACTCAATATCCACTTATGTATCTGTTATAGTTCAATTTTTAAGTTTTAGTATTAGAGAAGAATGACTTTATTCTTCGGACAATACAGCATAATCTAGCTATCTATCTATTTTTTCATTTCACTTTGAAATATTAAGGGTGTTTTATTTGTTTCAAATACTGAGGGAGTATATTATATAGTTGAATTCTGCTGCAGAAGATGCTTTTTCCTGATTATTCGAGATTTAGAAAGTTTTGTGATGAAATTCTTGTGTCAGGTTTTATACATATGGACAGATCCAATATTTTCGAAAGTGAAACTTGAATGCTTGATTTTGTTTTTGACAAGGTGTATAAACATATATGTTTTGTAACAGGCAATAGAATCAATGGTATATATTTTTTTTATATCGAAGCAGGAGCGCAGGCAGAAGCCTAAATACCGGAACACAGCGGCTGCTATGATGATCCCAAAGAAATTTTATTAATACGATTTTTGAACTGCTTAAGGTTAATAGAACTGAGAAAAGCTTCCCCTTGTAGTTTGTTCCACAATCTCGACACCCTCGGGACAAAGGAGCGGTCGTATCGGCCGGTTCTGGATGTACGAAGTTCGACACGGTTAGGATGGGACGCCAAAGTCAGGCGGGTCTGTCTGGCAGGAACATCGCGCGGCGGCATCATGGTAGAGAGCTCTGAGGAGCAAAGCCCGTTGGTGTAACGGTAGAAAAGAGCTAGATCGCCGACAGCCCGCCGGTGCGAAAGTCCCGAGACTGTCTGCTAGAGAAGAGTCATCGATCAGCCGGACCGCCCTCCTCTGGACAGCATCGAGCATGGATAATGTAGTCGGGGCGGCAGCACCCCAAACGTGTGAGCAATAGGCCTTATCTGGGCCTTGTATAGAGTGAGAAGGTCATGCGGAGAAAAGTACTTCTTAGCCCTAAACAAATAGCCTAGCTTTTTCCCAGCGTCTGCAGCTATTGACGAGATGTGTTCGTGCCAGATCAGGTCCTCGGTGATCTGGACTCCGACTAGCCGAAGTGAATGGCTCTTTGGTAGAACTCGGCCGTCCATCGAAACTGTATGAGCGCTAGGACGCTTTTTGTTCGTCAAAGTACAGTACTGTGTTTTGGAAGCATTGAACTGTACAAGATTGTTACGTCCCCAAGCAGTGATAGCCTCCAGGTCCCTTGTCAGAGAAGAAGTCGTCGCTAGTCTTCTTTTTTCCAACTCGGCGGCAGAGATCGGCTTGTCACTCTGAATTCCTACATGTAGAGTGCTGTCATCAGCGAAGCTGCGGATTGAGTTGATCGTGCAGGAAATTAGGTCGTTGATATGTAAGAGAAATAGTGTCGGAGCCAAGACCGATCCCTGGGGAACACCCGCGTTGACGTTGTGGGATGAAAAGTAGAACCCGTCAATTACGACGGATATCTTGCGGCCAGAGATAAAGTCCCCATCTGCAAAGCCTTTCTGGGATGCCATAGGATGGAAGTTTGCTTAAGAGGGCAGCGTGCCACAGCTGATCGAACGCTTTCATGATGTCAAGAGCAACGACATGAGCCTCACCATGAGACTGGATGAGTTTACTCCACAATTGAGTGACGTAAGCTAGGAGGTCCCCTGTGGATCGTTGGTGCCGGAAACCATGCTGCCTGTCGCTAATCAAGCCGTGACGTCGAGGTAGACCAGAAGCTCACGATTTATGCACATCTCCATCACCTTACTTAAAACAGAAAGCAGAGCTATAGGCCTGTAGTTGTAAGGGTCGGTAAATGGTAAATGGTATTTGGATCCATTGGAATTCGCAAATATAGTGCCCCAAATTCATGCAAGATACTGCAACTGTAGATGCACCTATATAAAATATATGAGCCTAAAATATTTCAGTGGGATGTGGTCTGTAATTTCGCATAGGATGCCCAAAATCGATATCGTTTTTATTTTTAGATTTTCAATATGAATATTCGAATTTAGATCAATATTTAGGCCACAAAATTCAACACTGCTAACGTATTGAATGCATTTAATCAAAAGTGTCAGGTCTCCATGTTTTCTCTAGATGTTTGTGTCACTATTGTATAAAACGATTTTTTGAAATTTCTAACCATTTTAAGAAAATATAGCCAGTCACATAATTTCATTAAGTCCATATCCAAACTTAGCTTAATTTGTAGCGATGTGCCGAGTACGGTTTGACTCGAGTCAGACTCGATTCCTGCTTTAGAACTCGCCTACTCGAATACCAATTTATTTTGATTCGAGTACGCCGGACTAGATTCCGGTACTCGAGTCATGAAGAATCGATTCGTACTCGCTAACTCGATTCTATTTATGCGAGTCCAACTGACTTGAGTCTCGTATTCGAGTTTGGTTAACTCGCTCGTACTCGCAAACTGTTTACATAGCGTGCGGCCACACAAAGCTGCTAGCGGCGAAGGTAGCGAAGAGGAAGACGGAGAGTACTGCGGATACTGGCTTCACATGTCGCTGGTTTGGAGGCGTATTTTAATTCGCAAATTCCATAAACAGTACAGAGCCCAGGTGACGGTGGTGTTGTTATTACGGAAAAATGTCTCTTGCTAATAATTTATATTTAATCGAAAATTCTAGATTCTTCTACAGATAATGCTCAACAATTTGTTGTTGACGAGTTGATGATGTTGGAAACACAGGAATCTCAAGCTCAATTCCAGGTGCCAAATACTCCAAATAGATGTCTGCTGCCACCTACTTCACGTCTCGAAACACCTACCACTTCATCTTCAGATTCCCAGCAGACAACTTCAGAGGTGACTGGCGTATTTGGATAGAAAAGCCAATCCACTGAAATTTTGGGAGCTTCGCAAAATCACCAACAGTGGTCTTTATAAAATAGCTTTGAAGTATTTATGTATTCCAGCCACTTCTGTGTCTTCGGAACGAGTTTTCTCCAAGGCTGGTCTTTTATGCAACCAACGCCGCAATAGACTGGAGTAAAAGAAGGTTTAGCAAATATTTTTTTTTGAACAGTTATTTGAAATAACTTTTATTCTCTTATCTCTATTTTGTTTTTTTTTTATATATTCATTTAGTTATGTACGGTATTGTCAGTACGGTTTAGGTTGCTTAGGTGGTTCTGAATGCCATCCCAAATGTTATATTCTGAGCTGTTGAGTTTGTGTACCTACTTTTGCAAAATTAAAATGGTTTGATTTTAATGCTTGCTATATCTGTCTAGTGTTTAGATGTATAAGATTCCTTGAAGCTGTCTCTACTAATAAATAAATAATAATATCTAGTCTAAGTCGTGAGTAAATTTGATTATGTTCTATGTTTTATTATTTATCTCCATAGAACTCCAATGCTCTATGTTTTTATTTAACGTTTATAATTAACTTTTATTAAAAATTATTGATTTATTATTGTTGTGTCATTATGCTTAACCTAACCTACACGCTGTTTGAAGTTAACTCCTTTTCACTTTTCCCTTTTGTTCTAAAATCGGACTCTAGTTCTGGACTAGAATTTTCAGATTCGAATTCTGGACTCGAATTTTTAGACTCGAGCCAAGCCGGACTCGAGTCAATATTCGAATACCAAACAGAGAATTCGAGTACTGGTCTCGAATCAGGAAATCGAGTCATGATTCGAATACCGTATAAACTGACTCGAGTCGACTCGATCCATCAAAACAGCGACTCGGCACATCACTATTAATTTGATTAATATTTTCAGAACAGTAAATCTAATCTACATCTACATACAAATTGATGTCTCCTTCCAAAAGCAATTAATAAACTGACATAAAGCAGGAATATCAATGGCCCCAAAACCGATCCTTGGAGATCTCCATAAGTGTTTTTTCTATAGAAACTTCCATTGCCATTAGTACATACAAATTGATTCCTATCTTGAAGATGATTTTTAATGCATTTCATAGAATTTCCTCTTATACCTCTTTCGTACAATTTATTTAGTAGTATGGAATGGTTGAAACTATCCAAGGCTTTGGTTACATCTAATGATAGAGTTCACACATTTTATTATAATCCATTTTATTTTGTATCTTGGTTATCATATCAATTATAGTGGATTCAGTGTCACTGCAGTTTCTGAAGCCATACTGTTCCACTTGAACAATGGTCACTTTTTAAATAACCGTTTTGTCATCTAGTCATTGGAATTTTATTTATGAATGTAACTAAAATATAAGTTTTTAGTTTTTTAACATGGTCACGGTAAGCATTCAAACAGTCAGTAACTGTTTCTTTCAACATGTAATCATTTTACAAGCACTCCCACCAAGAACTTCTATACACTATTTCACGAGTATCCATCACGTTAGAATGACAGCTGATTATCTAGTAATATCTCAAAATTCCCCATATCGGCACAAGACACATAATTCTGACAGATCCGTCAACGTCAGGTAGTCAGAGCCGTATTTTGTTTTGGTTTTTTGTAAGCTACAGATTCATTTTGTACTTGCTAACTGCTCTTTTATTTAGAAAAGTTCATTTGCATTCAAAAACAAAACGCTAGAAACAAGTTTTGTTAAATTTACACCCGATTCGTTATTACCAACGTCGCAGACTAATACAAAAATGTCACTTGCTGATCAGCTGTTCACCACAGTAGACGTCAACGCGTGATGGATACTCGTGAAATAGGGTATACAGGGTGCCGGCGAAAGGTTGGGAAATCTCGAAATTAGAGATACTAGAGACTAAAATATGTGAATTGACCTAAGCAATAAGCATGCATACCTTTGTCCAAAAGTTGATAGTTTGCGAGATACAGGATGTCAAAGTTACAATTTTATTCTCTATTTTTCCTTATTGCTTGATAAGTATTTCAGATTTTGGTATGAAACTCGGTATAGGGAGGTTTTCTGTTAGGAGGAACAAAAATCCGTTATTTTTTATGGTCAAACTTCTAGAGGGCGCCACTTACAGCACTATTTTGTGCTACCCTGTATACAACAACTGACCGAAAAATCTTATTTTCTCGTATTTCCACAACAAAAAAGGTTTACTTGTTAGAAGTTTTTAAAAGTTCCAATGCATTATTTGTACCATGATAACACATATTTATAACATAATAATCAAGTTGCTTTGGATAATATCTGAGTAGCGTTGCTATGGTTTTTAACAATAACAAATGAGGATGGCAACAAAACTAATAAACGGAAATAATAACTACAAAGATGGTTCAAAATGAGCACCAGCTTGTCTAGCACACTCTCGAGCTCGACGAACTAATCCTTGCTGCACTCTCCAAAGCATCTGGATGTTATTTTTCATTTCCTGGCTATGATGGAAAATTCTTTGTCGAAGATCACCTACAGTTTCTACTGGCGTATTGTAAACGGGTGGTTTTAAATTACCCCAGAAGAAGAAATCCACAGGATTTAAATCTGGTGATTTAGCCGGCCACGATACAGGCCTAACAACTGGTCTGGATAAACTCTATTTAGGTGCTCTCTAATTAATATACTAAAATGAGGTGGAACGCAGTCGTGCATAAACCACATATTCAGCGTGTTTGTAATGGAAGATCTTCCAGCAGAGTGGTAATTGTTCTTCAAGAAATTGTAAATACCTTTGGCCAGTTAGTCTAGGTGGTAACTCAACGGGTCCTATTAAATATTGTCCAATTATTCCTGCCCATAAATTAATTTGAAATTGTACTTGGTGGCGGGTTTGTATTATTGCATGAGGATTGTCGCCTGCATAAATGTGAAGATTATGCGAGTTAATGGGTCCATCCCTTCCAAATCCTGATTCGTCCGAAAATAATATTAGCGAAGTAACCCCATTGTCGTGGTTAAACTTCCTTAAGAGCCATGTACAAAATTCTACGCTTGCGGGTTCACCATAAGCGCTTAAACCATGTACTTTTTGCAGGTGGTATGGATGGAGCAGTTGCTCTTGAAAAATGGTATTTACTGTAGATATGGAAACTTGAAATTCTTGAGCTACATTCCTAACCCCTACTGTAGGATTTTCAAAGACAGTATCTAAAACATTTTCTTCAACTTCAGCTGTAAGTAAAGTTCTGGGAGCTCCACTATGTTGGCCCATATTTTGAGCTAAACTACGTGAAATCCAAATGGTTTTTACAACTCACAATAAGTCTATAATCATTTCTTACCAGTTTCTCGTAACCGCTGATCGATTCGTTGGAAAGCCTTTGAATTAGGCAGGTGTCTATTAGGGAATCTGTCAGCGTGCAATCTTCGTGCTTTTAAAGTATTACATCTTGCCAATCCGTACATTAAATACATATCAGAATAGTCATCAAACGTATACTCCATGATGTTTAACAACTTAATGTCAACTTGAAATTATTCATGAAGTTTGAAGCAATATTATGACAAACATTGGAACAAACATCAGAAACCATAGCAACGCTACTCAGATATTATCCAAAGCAACTTGATTATTATGTTATAAAAATGCTTTATCATCATGGTACAAATAATGCATTGGTACTTTTAAAAACAAATATGTCGAAAACTATTATCTTTAGATATTTATAACAAGTAAACCTTTTTTGTTGTGAAAATACGAGAAAATAAGATTTTTCGGTCAGTTGTTGTATACAGGGTAGCACAAAAAAGTTATAAGTTATTTTCCGAAATAGTGCTGTATGCGGCGCCCTCTAGAGGTTTGGCCATAAAAATAACGGATTCTTGTTTCTCATACCAGAAAGCCTCCCTATGCCGAGTTTTATGCCAAAATCTGAAATACTTATCAAGCAATAAGGAAAAATAGAAAATAAAATTGTAACCCTGTATCTCGCAAACTATCAACTTTTGGACTAAGATATGTATAGGTCAATTCACATATTTTGGTCTGTAGTATCTCCAGTTTCGAGATTTGCCAACCTTTCGCAGACAACCATAGAATAGGTTTTGGAAAAAGATAAAAATCTGATGGTGCTGTATGGTGGCTGAGTAATTCAACAACAAAGCAGTATAACCACGTAACCAACACCGACAGATTTAAGAAACGTAATGGTGGCATATTAACAGACTGGCCAAGAGTGTCTGAGATTGAACGGACGGCACGTCACGGAAAGCGCGGGCATGATGCGCAATCTGTTCTTACTTTCAAAATGGCCCTCATATTATACCGCCGATTGCGAATATGGCGAACAAGAAATTCTAAAGTACCGCAGAAGCAAAAAGAGTATATAAATGGAACCTCTTCTCGATTCCAGCAGATTCGTGATCTACGCACTCGATTCTTCTTTGGTATTCAAACTTTAAAATATTTCTCAATGCAAAATTTCCATTGTTATTTCCTGCAGCTACAGGTTAAAGAAACTGCGGTTATTTGGGACGCTGATTTCGAATATGACCATCAAAAAAACCGAGGCATTATGGGGCTGAATTTGGGGTCGAAAACAAGCCACCTAGAACCACGTTCCAGTTGATGAATTGAGAGATATATATTAGATTGATGATGGAACCGCACTTACTTTCTCTGAGCTCCAACTGTCGTTTCGCTTCTCCTAGCGCGCTGAACAGATCCAATTTGATTCTGTTCTCTGCGCTTAAGGAGTTCTCCAGATGAGCGTTTTTCTCCTGCATCGCGCTTAACGCCGACATCAGTAAATCGGCGTCTCTGGCACGTTCTGCCATCGCCGCACCATCCCTACAGAAATAAAACGTAATATGTTTGTTTGCTTAGTTTGTTTAAGATTTATTCAGCATGACTGCTACAATTACATTCTTCTAAAAAACTAAGCAATCACATATAGATATTTAGAAAAAACTAAATTTGCATCTCTAAGAATTTTCACTGTACATGAAATATTCCTTTAGTTTTCTTTTAAACATCTTTAAATTACAAGTAGACTCTATATCATTATTTAGTTTATTAAATTCAAGTAATCCTTTCTGAAATATTGATTTGCTAGTTATATTACTACTGCAATTTTGTAAATGAGAATCTAAATTTCCTTTTGTATAATAATTGTGGTAATGATTATTCAATTCTATGTAGTGTTCTAAATGTTGTGGCAAAAGATGATTTTTTATTTTAAATATAAAAATAATAATCCAAATATGATATGAAATTTTTATATTCAACCACAGCAATTCTTGAAACATAGATTTTATTTTGGTGTACTTATTTTTATTCACTATTATTTTATATATACTAAGTGACATATAAATCCGAACACCCAGTTTAAATGGTTTTATTTTAATAAAAGTTGGTGAATGTATTTATCTTACTGTAAATAACAAGTGAAAAAATTTTCAGCCTAATCAGTTGGACATTCCGGTTTTTATACTGCTTTTTTTTAATTCACTAACGCTCTAAAAATGAATATTTCAGCCGCAGTAAAGAATCAACGTTGGCGGATTGTGGTTCTTGACATCCTTTACGATCGGTTACGATGCCTAGAGTACGGAGACCTGTACAATTTCGTCAGCTTAGTGAGTTTGATAGGAGCCGTATAGTGGGACTTCGGGAAGCTGGACTTTCTTTTCGGGCAATTGCAGTTAAAGTGCAAAGAAGTGGTTAGGTGTTGTCAGGTATGGCTTCGAGAAGGCCGTACGCAAAGAGCAAGGGGCACTGGACGCCGCCGTAGAACAACAGACCGTGAAGATCGCCGCCTAAGATTATTGGCCTTAAGGGACCGTTTCTCCACTACCAGGTCCATTGCAAATGAATGGTTTGCAGAACACGGAAGACCTATTGGCATGCGAAGTGTTTACCGACGAATGAGAATTTTTGGCTTGTTTTCAAAGCGGCCACACTGGGTCCTCCCTTTAACTCGAGAACACCGACGTAATCGCCTTGAGTGGTGCAGACAACGGTCACAATGGGATCAGGAATGGAACAGTATTGTCTTTAGTGACGAGTCTCGATTTTGTTTAGGCATGCACGATAGTCGTGCCAGGGTTAGAAGGCGACGTGGTGAAAGGAGGAATCCACAGTTTTTTGTTGAAAGACATGTTCATCACACTGTTGGAGTTATGGTTTGGGGTGCTATAGCTTATGGTGCCAGGTCACCTTTAATCTTCATCAGAGGTAACATGAACGCGCAGCGTTATATCCACGAAGTTCTAGAACCCCATCTTTTACCCTATCTTGAAACCCTGGTAGATCCAACTTTCCAACAAGATAATGCCCGACCACATGTTGCAAGAGTCACAGTAGACTTCTTTCAACATAATGATGTCACATTGTTACCATGGCCACCAAGATCTCCCGACTTATCCCCGATTGAGCACGTGTGGGATATGATGGGTAGGAGATTGCTCAATTTGCAACGTCCTCCTCAGACTCTAGAAGCACTTCGAGAGGAGTTGGTGGTTGCCTGGAATGAGATACCACAGGAGGACATTGACCACCTGATCAGAAGCATGCCTAGGCGCGTTGGAGAATGCGTAGCACATCAGGGTGCATCCACACATTATTAAATGTCAAAGGGATTTAAAGCAGTGCAATCATTTTGAAATTTTTATCATTTACTTATTATGCTTCATTAAGTACTTATACAAAATTTATTAAAATAAAACCATTTAAACTGGGTGTTCGGATTTATATGTCACTTAGTATATTATAATAGCTTTATTTTGTAGGACTTGTAATTTTGAGAATACAGCTTCATTGGCAGTGAACAAGATAGTTGAACAATATAGTAAATGCTGTAGAATAATAATAATTGCATTTAAACTATTTTCCTGGAATATGTACCACGACTATGAGAAGCCCTATAAAAGTAATTTGTTTTATTGGCAATTTTTGAAATAATGACCCTCAAATTTTGGTTTACTATCAATATATACATGTATACCTAAATATTTAATTGATTCAACATTTTCAATTATTTCGTAACATACAGATATTTAGAAAAACAAAACTTGCATCTCTAAGAATTTTCACTGTACATGAAATATTCCTTTAATTTTCTTTTTAACATCTTTAAATCACAAGTAGACTTTATATCACAAATTTAGTTGATCAAATTCAAGTAATTCTTTCTGAAATATTGCTAGTTATATTACTATTGCAATTTTGTAAATGGAAATCTACATTTCGTAATTGGCACAAGCTGCTGTTGGGTGTTGCAATTAAAACAAAAAATCAAATAAATACTGGCTTGACGGTAAATGCCTAATGAAGGGATTCAATCTATAACTTAAAATCCTATCACCCGATTTGCCAAATCACAAAGGTGAGAATATATAAAATTGAGGAGAGGGGAAGTCATCCACCCATCTGCAAAGTTTCCCGGGGAATCATCGACGATTATATCCCAAAATGCAAAGATTAAGTCAACTAATGATTTTTACCTTATAAACAAATGGAATTATTTTGTTGCACTTGTTTATAGAAGACGTTTTTATCAAAACAGTCAGTACCTTCTTTGACGGATTTAAAAAACTGTTCTAATACAATCCTAGCCACAGAATTTTTTATATTTATTTATAGATATATATATATATATATTTATATACAGGGTGTTTCAGTTTATTGTTACATAATTTTAAGATTTTAAAATGAATGCATAAAGTCTATATAAACATGGGTCGAAAAATGAGTGGCTTACGAAATACAGGATGTTTAAATTTACTTTCTAAAATAGTTTTTTTTCAATATTTCGAACAATATTTGATGTATAACAGTGAAAATTGGTATACAAGGGTTTTTTGGTACGACAAAACGAACCTTGGGCATAGTTTTACTGTAGCCGCTAGAGGGCGCTATCTACTGTACCTGTAGTGTATTAAAATGACCGAAAAAAATTTTTTTGTGCAATTTTTTGCTTTTTGAATAAAAAAACTGATTCTTGGCACTTTTCAACATAAAAAGCTCTCCTGTGAGTCTTCGTTATAGTTAGCCGTTTTTGAGATATTTAGATTTTTAAGGTTCGATGCATTTTTAATTATTTATTATTATATAATAATATTTTTTTACATTTTCGATTTGGGCATTACAAGTAATTAAGATGATCGTTTAGATTGTGTGTTTAATTGTTTGTAAACACAGCAATAATTCCTAACTCCAAATAAACACAAAAAAACAGAATATTAATTTGTTTAATTTTCCAATATTATTTTTAACAAATTAAATTAATTATTTACAACTAAAATGCTATTGGATAGTTAGGACAAACATACAAAATCTAAAGTAGTTGCTCGAAATGTAAACCCAATTGTTCAATACACAATTCACATCTACGAATGATCGGTCGTGGAATACCATTATTCAAATAAGGCCTTATTTCATCACATGCATTCCTGATTCTGTCTATTAGCATATCTCTTGTGGTTACGGGAGTCTGGTACACTTTTTCTTTTAGAAATCCCCACACAAAGAAATCTAATGGATTTAGGTCAGGGGATCGTGGAGGCCAGGCTACTGGTCCTCCACGGCCGATCCATCTTTCTGGATAATTGTCGTCCAGCCAGTTTCTAACTATTCTCGAATATAATAATAATAAAGCTGGAACCAGGCCAATCTTCTTAAATCTAACATAACATCATCCCACATATTTGCATGTTCAGCCTTTAAAAATTCCAAGAAGGTCGCAGCATTTAACCTTGCAGGCAAAAGGTAGGGTCCAAATAGTCGATTACGGTAGATACCAATCCACACGTTCACACTAAATTCATGCTGAAAATTTCTTTCCCGAACTGTACGCGGATTTTCATGCGACCCGATATGTTGATTATGAAAATTTACCACTCCACGTCTAGTGAAGCATGACTCATCGGTCCATAAAACGTTACTTAAAAACTCCCTATTATTATCAGTTCTATTAAGAATCCACTGACAAAATGTGATTCTTCGTTCTCTGCCCCCTGGCTGTAGTCCTTGCACAGGTTGCAAATGGTAAGGACGTCTATGGTCATTTCTAAGAACACGGTGAACATGGCTTGCTGAAATTCCCAAGGCACCAGAAACTCTCCTAACACTTGTGGTCGGATCTCCATCAAACTCACGCACAATCATACGGGTAAATCTGCGCTGACGAACATTTATGTTTTGATCCCTTTGGAGATTTCCAAAACCATTTTCAATTATTTGGCGATGCACTCTTAGAAATACTGATCGAGTTGGATGTCGTCTGTTCGGAAATCTTCGTGCGTATTCTCTGGCTGCTTCTGCTGCGTTTCCATTTACAAAGCCATACACAAAATGAATATCCGCTAACTCTTGATTGGGGAATAAAAATGGTATTTTTATAAAACTTACAAAAAAAACAGGTAAAAGAAACTAAATTTCGTGCATTCACAATTGCAAAAAAACCTTTCAGGTTTCAACAGACAACAAAAATAACTGTCAACTAATTGACGTTTAACCCTATTCTGCTTTCAATTTCAAAAATATTTGCAGGCACAGCCTACTTCTAAAAATTATCGAGATACTGACTTTTTAACCTTATTTTATCATAAATAATTAAAAATGCATCGAACCTTAAAAATCGAAATATCTCAAAAACGGCTAACTATAACGAAAATTCACAAGAGAGCTTTTTTATGTTGAAAAGTGCGAAGAATCAGTTTTTTTATTCAAAAAGCAAAAAATTGCACTAAGAAAAAAATGTTGGTCATTTTAATACGCTACAGGTACAGTAGAGAGCGCCCTCTAGCGGCTACAGTAAAACTATGCCCACGGTTCGTTTTGTCGTACCAAAAAACCCTTGTATACCAATTTTCACTGTTATACATCAAATATTGTTCGAAATATTTTAAAAAAACTAACTAACTAAATTTAAACACCCTGTATTTCGGAAGCCACGCATTTTTCGACCCATGTTTATATAGCCTTTATGCATTAATTTTAAAAGTTCTATCGAATCTTGAAATTATGCAACAATAAACTGAAACACCCTGTATATATAAAAATCATTCCAAGTAGTGAGTGTTAAGGCACGGAATTAGTGTTATTACATACAAAGAAGTTACATTCTCGATAGAAAATAGAATGCTGACCTTTCGAGCTGCTGTGCCCGTTCCTCGTGCCATCTCGCCTCCCTGCGCGCCTCAGCCAATTCGGCTTCCAGCTCGCGCCGCCTCTGTCGGCATTGGTCGCTGCCGCATTCACCGCTGACGCGTTGCTGCTGTGACGCCGCCGCTACAGCTGCTGCCGCTGCCGCTTGTTCGCGCTGCTGGGCGGCAACCGCCTAAAAAAATAAAAAATGATAATCAAAACAATACGTGAGGGCGTCGAGTGTACATAGAACCAACATTTGTAGCTTTCCGTTCTAGGACCAGCAATCATCTGGCCTCATTATTCTCGTATGAATAACATAGGAAAGTTATTGGCCCATGTTGTGTATTACACTTAATAAATGAAGGATCAATCACAATTTAGGTTTTATTATCTAACCACTATCATGTGCACACATCGCCCCAGCTGGACTGGACATGATAATGACAGTTGATACAATGACATGACACTGACTTCATATTTGACAGGGAGCATAGTCACAAGGATACAACAGCCCAGTGTGGCATATTCAAAACGATATAGTTGGGTGTAGAGTATAGATAGAACCAACAGTTGCAGCGTTTTATTCTAGAACCTACAGTTATTTGACCCCACGATTCTCGTTAGGCTTTAAATCGACATAGTAAGGTTATGGGCCCAGTCTGACAGATTTTCTTCTATCAAAACGATAAAAGTGGTTGTCAAGTGTAGATCGAACCAACATTTGCAACCTTCCGTTTTACCTTATTCAATCATTTTGCCAAACAGTCTAAGGGAAAATAATCTAAAAGTGAGGTTATGGGCTCAGTCTAACAGATTATTTTCTATCATAACGATAAAGGAGGGCGTCGAGTGTAAATAGAACCAACATTTGCAGCTTTCCATTCAAACATTCAGTCACTTGACCACACTATTATGATACGACTCTAAAACAACATAGTAAGGTTATGGGCCCGGTCTGATGGATTTTCTTTGATGTATTTTGTTAACAAGATGACAAACATTACTATGTAAAATTTATTTTCGGAAATTTCAAGTTATTTCTCAGTTGTGCTTGCTGCACCTACCGTTGACACTCAGGCATTAACTAGGCAGACCTTCTCTGCAAAGAATGACTTTTTAAGCATCCATCTTCGGAAATTCTTGGCGATTAAAATTCTTTCTTTCATTTCTTGAAGATCGAGAAGCTTCTCATGTATTTTTGAATAATCAAGAATATTATTTTACGCATTTTATTTCCAATCTGTATATTCCATACGAATTATTATTTCAGCAATCATCATAGAATAAAATATTTTTAGAATAGCTCAAACTATACCACCCCTGAATGATTGTCTCATGTTTTAAAAACATAATTTGGTATAATTTTGAGTAATTTACCTGAGCAGCTCTGGCCTCCTCCTGTTTCCGACTTTTCCTCTCTTGGTTCAGCTGTGATTCCAAACTGGACCTGAGTCGCCTCTCATCGGCTATCCGTCTCTCCAAGTTGCTTATCGTCTGTTTATCTGATGATTTTGTACTTAAGGCGCTCTGTAATCGCTGCTGAATATCTTCGAGCTCCCGCTGTAACGAGGATATTTCGCCTTTCGACACTTTGTCTGCCGTCGTCAATGCAGCAACCTAAAAACAATTATTTTGATAAAGCAATATGCTATTTTCCAAAAAAAATATTTCAAGGATAGATCAATATTAGGACTCTAGAAAGTCTTCCTCTGGACAGGGATTAAGCTCTTGCCGTTTCCTATTTCACAAAGTTGGTAAAACCATCTTTTCCTTGACAGATATGCTGGCGGCCCAAAGCATGAATTTGATAGAAAAGTGAGAGTTCCAAAAAAAAAGTAGTGAGAAACAGTGCGTTTATACATAAAGAAGTGAGTTAACTTTCTGAGAAATTGAACATCATAATACCCAATTTAAACGGATAATATAAATAACATGTGAAAAACGAGGGTAACTCTTATAAGGTCTCTGTTACTGTTTTGTTGACGTAAACAAAAATAATTATTTATATGTAGGCGTATTTTGCAATCAAATGAATACCATGCATAAAACAGACATAAAAATATAACAAATTCTTGTAAAAACGGGAGACGTACTTTATATCTATAAGTATTCTTGTCGAATTGATTGAACCTACATTTTAGCGAACTATCTAATGTTAAAATTTTGAAATTTGATATAGCTATTATACAGTGCTTTTCTTCAATGTCCCCCTCCACTTTGATTCTTTGAACGGATCAATTCAAAAAATTAAAACTTGAGGTAATGAAATTGATTGAGTAAAATTGACAGATAAAAATGTCAAGATGGCCGCTGGGCGCCATCTTGGAAAAATATATGGAAACGGAAGCCTTGTGGCACATCATTTTGAAGCTCCTGACGAGTACTTTATAACCCTAGAATATAAAGTCAATACCTTTACCTACTACAAAATGGTGGTACATTTAATAATTACCTGAATACATTGACATTTAACTTGATAATTCGAATAAATACGTTGAGTTCAGTTTAGATGCTGGAAATGGTTGCCTTGAACTTCTTGACCAATAACAGTCGGTCCGTAATTTCGCGTCAAACATTTTCAAACATAGTAACATCGATATTTCTACAAATATTTGTTATTCTCAGCCATATATCCCATATTGAAGCAAGTTCAATTTCGAACACCTTTTGCTTCAAATAGCCCCATGAAAAAAAGTCTAAAAGTGTCACATCTGGCGAACGAGCTGGCCATTCCACAGGACCTCGACGGCCAATACAACGACCGAGGAAATTGTTATCTAAATAATTCCTAACTTATCTGTAGTAGTGTGGTGGAGCACCATCTTGCTGGAATACAATATCAGTATCGAATTCATTAGGATTCGCTTCGCTTAGACGATTTCGGTGATTAGAGGGTCAATAGCATTTTCCAGCAATCCAAATACAGTTCCCCGGTTAAAGTTTGTTCGATGAATAGAGGCCCCACAATATGAATTCCCAATATCCCAGCCCAAACGTTATTTTTTTGTGGATATTGAGTTTTCCGGAAGAGGTGAGGATTGGTGTCACTCCAATAACGACAATTTTGTCTATGCACATTACCGTTAAGAAAAAATGTACATTCATGACTAAAACAAATATTTTGGGTATAGGTAGGATGCCGTGCAATGGTTTCCCTCATAGTCTCGCAGAATTCTCTTCTTCGATCAGGGTCATCTTCAGTTAGCTGATGTACCATTTGAATTTTGTATGGGTGATACTTATTCTTTTTAGAAAGTCTCCATACAGTAGAAAGACAAAGCTCACATACATTCGCGATAGAGGAAGTAGACTGTGGCGAATTACTATGATCTCACCAATTATTTGAACTTGCTTTTCTTCCGGGATGGTCGGATGACCTGGGGGCTTTTTGTTTTTTACACTACCAGCAGCTGTAAATTTAGATAGAAGTTCCCTTAAATATTTTCTACAGATAGGACGATTCCGGAAACAATCATTAAAAATCCTTTCGGTCTCGTGAAAGTTACGCGTCGCACCATAAATAAAAATCGCTTCGATTTTTTCTTCCAATGGACGAGAATTGACCATTTTAAAAATAGTTCAAACCGAAAACTAAATAAGAATATTTTAACTGTACAATGTTTGTTTTCGTACTGATATTCTTGTCACTGTCAATAAAAATGACAAAACGAGTTTTTATCGCTGTTGCTGTGGATACGGCAGGGAATTACAATTATTTTGTAAGATATGCATGTTAGTGGGGGTTTGTGTTCAAGTAATTATTAAATGTACCACAATTTTGTAGTAGGTTCCCGTGCCAGTGAGACAACGGGATGGTCGAAATGACGAGAATATTGCTGTCGTTCAAGCTTCCGTCGCAAACGAACAGAACACGTCGATTTCACGGCGTTCTCAAGGACTGGGCATCGCTCAGACCAAACTATTGCGAATTTTGCGATGAGATCTTGTCCCGCAAAATGACCAATTTCATCGCAAAATCATCTTCAGTGATGAGGTGTATTTTTTGCTAAACGGCTTCGTCAACAAACAGAATTTGTGTTATTGGTCAGGTGAAAGCCCTCATGTGCTTCAAGAAACACCACTTTATCCATAAAGAATAACTTTATGGTATAGTTTTCGTGTCGGTGATGTCATAGGGCCGTTTTTTTAGTCAAAGGAGACCGCTACAAAGACGTGTTACAACGTTATTTTTTTGGACAATTGGATTGGCTAGACATTAATGATATGTGGTTTCAACAAGTCGATGCCACAAGTCACACAGCGGGTGAAACAATCGACATATTGAAATCAAAATTCGGTGAACGTGTTATACCGAGAAACGATCCTGTCGAATGGCCGCCTAGATAGTGTGATTTAACACCTCTAGACATTTTTTGTGGGGCTACATTAAATCATTGGTCTATGCCAACAAGCAGGCGTCAGTAGAGGAGCTTAGAGCCAATATTGAACGAGAGATAGCGACCGTTTCTGTCAAAATGTGTGGCCGTCAAAGAAACAATATGAACCTGAATAAAAATAAAACTACCGCAATCAACTTTAACAACATTAAATGTAGAGCTTGGATTACAGTTAGTGGATAGTGTGAAACTCCTTGGTAGCTGGTTCGATGTAGAACTCTCCTCCGGCACCCAAACTAAGAATGTATGCATGAATTTAAATAAAGGTTATTGTGCCATATTTCATATGGAGCAGTATTTAGATCAAAAAACATGTTATCACTATACTATGCTCTCGTATACAGCCATTTATCGTATAACATCCTATGCTGGGGTAGAGCTACAAGCAGCAACAGTTTTTATATAATTATATCAAAAGCGGATAATTAGATTGTTGTTCAACCTTAGTTTTGGTGAAAGTTGCAAATACACATTTTTCCAAAATCCTTGTATAGTCTAATCATATTAGCAAATTTCCCTGAAATAATTGTAAAGTCTGGTTTTATTGGTGCAAGTTGTTCAAGAAGGTATTTAAAACATGGACGCATGAAATGGATACACCAATTTTTGTGGGAAAACTTTTTATTTGACAACAAAGAATGAGAAAACGTGTTTTTCAGGATTCAATCGAAAGTGTTGACAGGAACGAAAAAACTTCTCATATAAGATTTTTAGGTATTTATGAGACGTACAAAATGAGACCACACGTAAAAAGATCCGACTAATAGCAAAAATGTGACGATAATTTCACGCAACAACTTGAAATTCTTCAAATCCGTAGGATTCATACTTCTAAATAACAACAACAAAATTGAATTATATTGGTCAAGTGATTTTTTGAGAATTTCTAATTGTTCATCCCAAAACACCTGTTTTACGGCCATCACTGCTAGTTTATTGAGCAATATACAGAGTTCGTTCAAAAAGCATTTAATAGCAAAATACATGTGTTTACCTTGCCGATATGAATCACAAACCATTCCAAAAGATAAATGTTATTTTTATGCGAAACACAAAGGTTACGTTTTGTTCTTCTAAACAAAGTCAAACATTTCGTTTTTATGAGTAATAATGCGCTACGATATTCGAAAAACATACGTTACTATACACATTTTAAAACATAGCGGATGTGTCTATCATCTTTTATTGCGAATTACTCACAAATACGAAATATTTGATTTTGTTTAGAAGAAAAAACGTAACCCATTCTTTTTTGCATAAAAATAACATTTATCTTCTGGAATGGTTTGCGATTTACATATATCGGCACGGTAAACTAGTGTATTTTGCTATAAAATGCGCTTTGAACTAACCCTGTATAATGCTCAATAAACAATTAGAATTTCTCAAAAACTACTTGACCAATCTACTCCAATTTTGTTGTGGTTATTTTGAAGTATGAATCCTACGAATTTGAAGAATTTCCTAAATATCTGCGAGAAACCATCGTCGCATTTTCCAGCAAGTGCCAAAACCTGCAGTTTCCCTCGGTTTTCGGCCATAACTTTTTTTTATATACTCCAACTACCACGAAGGCCTACCCATTGCGTACCGTGGGGATATAGGGGGATACAGGGGAAAGGGGGAACGCCACACGGACTCTGGCGAGGGAACACGTGTGCATGCAACATGCACACATTCTGGCTCCGCCTACGAGATCCGCCGGGTGGTACCTCCACGTTCGACAGTCAGAGGCCATCTACCACCTACGGACAATCACAACATCCATAGCCAAGACAAAAATTTCTCCTGGGAATCAAACCCGCACGGCGACTGATCAGGAGACCGAAGAGTCTACTACTGCGGCCACCGCTGCTGCCTTTTTTGCTATAAGTCGGATCTTTTTACGCGTGGTCTTATTTTGTAGGTCTCATAAATACCTAAAAATCTTATATGAAGAATTTTCTCGTCCTGCCAACACTTTCGATTGAATCCCAAAAAACACGTTTACTCATTCTTTGTTGTTGAATAAAAAGTTTTCCCACAAAAATTGGTGTACTTACTCATTGTATGCGTCCATGTTTTGAATACCCCCTTGAACAACTTGCAGCAATAAAACCAGACTAATTATTTCGCAAACCAAAGGTATTTTTGTGTAATATGATTAGACTAGTATTTACATATACAAGTGTGTCAACTATGTAAAGCAAAACATCAATGATTTCAGCATACAAAATGATCACCACTATAAGACCAGATATTCCATTTTGAAAGCAAATCGTTTTAGAACTATGGTATATACAAAGTCACATCAATGCACTACATATCATTTTATAGTGAGATATAGAGAGCTACATCAAATTTCAAAATAAGGTTTTCAAGTATTTAAGTCTGAAATCTTTTTACCCTAAAATGATTTTTTTAATTTTCCAAATCAGTAATACATATTATGTTTTATCTAGTGTTTTAACAAATAGCTATTTTACTCTAACTTTGACTTTAACCACTACTATATCTACATCTAGTCATAATGAACTTGTATTTTTATCATGTTTTTGATCATAGTGTGGTGCAACACTGTTAACTCACTCTCTCCTATATTCACATTTATTGTGATATTTTAACTGTGCTACGTTTCTCTTGACATGTCTTGTGAACTTTATGTTTGAAATTTGGCTAAATATACTACTACTAATGCCTACCTGCAACCTGAGCTCCTGTTCGCTAGCCCTGCTACTCTGCAAATCCGACCTGAGCCTTTTCGCGTCGCTCTCCAGCCTCTGCAGGTACTCGTTCGCTTCCCGATCTTTGTCCTGTTCTCTCTTTTCCTTTTTGCTTCTACCTCCACGCAGCAACATTCCCTCAGGATGTTCCAACACGGGAGAGCTAGGCTGAGAACTCCCCGTCGAACTGCAGTCGCCGTCCGTGGAGGTCTGTTGCCCCCCACTGGCACTGTGACTGTGTGCGCTACTTCCGGACTGTACTGAACCGTTCTGATGCGCGTGCGATGAAGATCGCTGCTGTCTGTCGGTATGCCTGAAACATACGAGTCTCAAAACAAGTACGTCTTTTAACAACAAAAAATCTACTGCAGAAACTGAGAAGAATGAATTTTTGATCGGCTACTTGACTCATATCTAATTTCAAAGATTAAATGAGAATTTCGTGAATATTTGCAATAGGAAATCGAAATATATCGATTTCAATTTTTAAAAGCGCAAGATATATAAATCGATTTAAAAAATATAGTTCTTATTTTTAATACAAAGTGGTGAAAACCCTATCGGCTATGATGTGATGTAATACAAATTGTAAACAAAAAAACGTCATCCGTATGTCACTCGCAGGCTCACGTTATCCTCTTTAAATATTTCAGAAAAACTCCCAATCAACGTAAAAAGTTTTGCGTGTTCTCGTTATATTAAAAAAATACAATCAAGGACGTTGGATTCGTAAAATCAGAAAGCACAAATTTTCCGATAATTAACATATTTATGGTTGGTAATTTTTTACCTTTGACCCCGACTTCTGCTCTACTGAGCTGAGGAACATCAAGATTTCTACATGAGTATAGTGCATCAGATAAACACTTACATAATATTTCTTTTTAGTAGTCATTCAAAACTAAGCTCATGTGTCATAACTTCTGAATAATTTCATATGATATTGCAATTATGCTTACACATGTGCAAGGGAATCGTACGGTGATGAAGCCATTGGTAACGTACAAGTACAGTAAAATGTAAAATATGTCCCGAACATAAGATATAATAAATACAGTGTTGCGTATATTCATTTCCCTGGGTGCTCCAATCAACAGCGTTTTTGGGGTCTTTATCGATGTGTTTTTATATTCTCAGACGATACAATAACGCTAATTACCTTACTTTTCATATAAACTAGTAGAAGTCATGTTTTTATGTTTAAAAGTTTGAGAGGTTATGCTGTTTACCACTGGTATGACGTCAGGGCACATTAATATAGACCAAATATGGCGCACAGCATTTTCGCCTGTCTAGAAAAATATATTTTCAAATTGAAGAACCCACGGCCTTTTAGGTCTGAAAAAAGTATTTTGAAATTTGCATTCAAAATCTGCCATTTGAATTTATTAAATTATAATATACCCGATGTCACTAGCACTGCCAAAACAAATCTAAACCTTCACGAGTATCCATCACGTTTACTGAGCTGAACAGGTGTTCAGCAAGTGACATCTTTGTATTAGTCTGTAACGTTGGCAATAATGAATAGGGTGTAAACCTAGTAAAACATGCTTATAGAGTTTTTTATGCAAATGAAGTTTTCTGAATAAAAGGGTTATTATTATTAGCAAGTACAAAATGAATATGTAGCGTACAAAAAAAAACAAAACAAAATACTGCTGTCTACCTGGCGTTGACGGATCCGTCAGAATTACATCATTTGTCGATATGACGAATTTTGAAATGCTACTAGATGATCAGCATTATTCTCCCGTAATGGATACTTGTGAAAAAGACAATAGAGACACCTCATATGTTAAAATACATCAAGCCGCATCCGTATTGCTTAGCCTAAAAAGTGGCATTATATCGATTTTCAATAACATTACGTAGATTTATCGATAAAATGTCACCTTAGAATTATCTGACATTCACTTCATGTTCACTGGTAGTAGCTGTGCGTGTTTCAATAACGACATGACACTTGAGCTGTATGGTTTGGCTCTGATGTTATGCCTGCTTCAAAGATGGCCCTATCAGATGCCATTTATAGCTCCTATGAGCTAAGTTGTAAGTTTTATACTATAGCAGGAAGGAAACACTGCAGTGTACAGTAATGATTTAAGTAATGATAATCTGTGCTGATGATGATTCTGTTGGATTCACAAATCATGTCGAGGAAACGTCAATTGCAGCCATTTCTCTATAGGTGGCGCTTACAGCGACTAGGCACGGAATGGGCTAGCGACTACAGAGTAAACAAGTTGGCATATAAATTTTTGATGTCATTATATCGATTTCTTACTTAAAACTCTGCTTATAGCTAGTGAACTCATTATTTTTGATTGCTTACATATTACATGGGCTCGAAAAGCATAACCCTCCTTCTGAGGTAGTCATGAGAAAATATGGAATTCCAGGAAAAAAAAGAACTGATGTCTCCACAATTAGTATTTTTCACATTAATAATAACATTAAGTAATAATGAAGGAAGCGAGAATGGGATACTCCAGGCTACAGTTACAGCCAAAGGCAAGATATGAGGACCTTGGACATAATCAAATAAGGAAACATGTGCGAAGTGACATACTTGACGCGAGGAAAGACCACAGATTTGTATTCAAAAAAAAACTTCGAGACCAAAATAGGAGATCGAACGGAACTACAAAGGCACAATCAGCAAGGGGAAATTAGCTGGTACACTGACGGGTCAAAAACTGAGCAGGGAACAGGTGCAGGTATATATAGGAACAGGTGCAATCCTGGGCATAGTATACCGGATGGAAGACACACCTCTATATTTCAGGAAGAAGTGTATGCAATGCAAAACGATCGCTATATACACTAACAGTGAGGCGTCGCTCAAACCGTCAAGTCCTACAATGATCTGGGAATGCTAACAAGAACTGAACACACTAGCGGAATACAACAAAGTAACTTTGATATGGGTGCCAAGGCATTCATATAACGCAGGAAATGAAAGGGCGGATGAGCTTGCACTGAAAGGATAATCCACATCCTCTACAGGCCCAGAACTTGCCTTAAATGTGGCAAAAAGCACTCTAAGGAACCAAGTCAAGAAAGGATAAGAAACCAGTGCAAGACATATTGATACTTAATGACTAGCTGCAGGCATGAGAAAGAATTTATCTAAGGGCCATGTTCAAACAAGACTGTGGAACTGCTCTCAATGAGTGTAGTCACAGGACTTCTAACCAGATACAATGGCCTGAAAGAACACCTGCGTAAAATAGGACTTCATGATGGAGACCTTAGCTGCAGACAATCTGGAAAAGGACCAGAATTAGCCCTACATGTATTATGTGATTGAGAGGCGCTGGATCAGAAATGCCATCAACTCTTTGGGAAATCAAAACTAGAACCGAGGGAATTTAGAACAGTACTGGCAGGGAAACTGTACCAGCTGGTACAGAACACTAGACTGATGGATTGGGTACTGTAAACTCGAGGAGCAAAGTACAACACGCTCAAGAGGCTACAGTGCCACTCAGGATTTTGGTCATACGGCTCCCAGGAAGGAATTAGTATATATTAGTATAATGTGTTACAATAAAACATATTTAAGGATACTCAGGTCATCAAGGAAATTAAACTCAAGATCATATTTAACTTTAGTATGTTAAATGACCCACCTGTGATCGTGTTGCTGGTCGTGTTGGTCTCTGCATTTTTCGACCGATTTGCGATGATGTGATTTGCTGCTGTACGACGTGTGTACACCATTTGCTATTGTACCATTTGGTATGTGACCATTCTTCTCGTGAGATTGTCTGAAATAAAAAAATTTATAAATTTAAGAAGACCTAATAAAAAAGATATGTAATTAGATCTATCAGAAATAAAAAATCATCAGACACTGTTGAAATTTCTTTGAATGTTATAGCTAATCTTTCACTTGATCCTCTCGATAGGCTCTCAAAACTTATATTTCTCTTAGCACAGGTGTTTGCCTAGGATTTTTAAAAACATCAATAGTTATTCCTATTTACAAAGGAGAGAGGTCCAAGTGATTTACCACAAAATTATAGACCCATAGGTTTATATACTGCTATAGCAAAAATAATAGAAAAAATAGTTCAAATTAGAGGCTTTCTGAAAACAAAATTATAAGTGAGAACCAATTTGGATTTCAAAAACAAAGAAATATAGATGCTATTTTCACATTAACCCAACAGTTATACTCAAATTTAAACGATGAACAAATCTCAATAGCTCTTTTCTGCTACTTTTCCAAAGTTTTTTACTGTGTAAATCATGATATACTACTAAAAAAATAACCAAAAACGGTTGCACTCGAACTTCACTCAATTGGTTTAACACTTATTTAAATAATCGATCCCAAATTGTAAAATTATCAAGACGTTATATTTTAACTCTTGTAATGCAGGGTTTCCGAATAGCTTGCTATCATCTGCATATAATGAAATCTTTGTTTTTATGTCCATTGGTAGATCTAACGTGTAAACAAGGAATAGAAGAGATCACCACCCATTTCGGATAATTTTTTGGACGCGGACTATCTTTACGTGGAATAGGTGTTAGTGGATGTTATGATTTTCCTCCGCAGAAAAGATCGCTGTGAAAACAGAAATAAAGTTCAAAGATCTTCCTACTCACCTACTATTATGTAACTTATGATTATTTTGTACATTAGTCGTCGAATGTGCGGTGACGGTGGCTGCCTGCGGCGACTCGATGGCCGCGTGTTGCGATTGGCCCGAGTCTTGGTTATTGGGTGCAGCGGGTGGCGGAGGCGGTTTGACCGCCTCCGCCGGCAATGCTTGTTGCATCAGCTGCATGTAGAACTGGTTCTCTTTCGCGACGTGCTGCTGTTTGCGCTGACGTATCCGGTAACCTATGTACGACTTGAAGCCAAAACCTAACGTCACCACTGGATAACCTACAATCAAGGGAAAGTAAATATAAGGTTATGTCACAAAATCAAAAAATGAGTAAGTTGACTCTGTACTTCCCACACCACGTTGTCATCAGTTTAAAGTTAGCCCTTCTAAGAAAAAAGTTAGCTACGAACATGTATAACAAAGAATTAAATGACCCTCCTCCTCCTGAGGAATTGCCGCAGGTGCACATGATAGTTGCGATGACCAACCCCGCGTGAATAACGATATTGGCCTACAGTTCACGCAGCCCACAGTAGTGTCGAAGCGATTGCCGACTGTAACGTACGACCACCGACGACTACGCTTGACTATCCGTGGGTCCACGTCGCACGTATCGACAACCGACTGTAGGAAATATTTCTAAGTTTTAAGGGTAAATGTACGTAATGTATGATGAGTGAAATATGCCTAGTAAGTGCCTATAATTACTCGCCCGCTCCCTGAAAACTCTAACCCACAATTTTTAAGCACTACATTTTTTTCGAAAATGATCAGAATCGTCTGAAACGTCAAAAAATGAAGTATGAGCGATATATTTCTTGTTTTTGGCATTTTTCTGCGCCGACACCAGACCGATTTTCAAAAACTACAAAGCTTTTGCGTCCTTGGCATAGTAGAAACGTTGTGTAGAAGTTTCATCGAAATCCAAGCAGTACTTCTCAAGTTAAATGCGGTTATACGATTAGCGAAGAGACCGACAAGACCGACGGAAATGAGTGACATATGACACGTCATATAGCATACAGATAAATACTATCTCAATATCGAAATTATTTGCGAATACAATAGTTTTCCGCCAGTAGGCGTAGGAAGTAAAAATCTTCGTATGTTATTCGAATAGCGCAAACTAACTTTTCTCCACGTCGCAGTAACGCTCAAAAATGGCGTCAATTAGATTGACTCTGTACTTCCACGCAATTCTGGACAAATTAACTTTGATTATGCAGCACGTGTAGTATCTAAATCAACTTAGGTGTATTTATTATTCTACAGCTATGAAAATACTTGTACCATGACATAAAAAATGTCTATTAGTGAAAACCCGTAATATTGATTAAAAAAATCCAAATTATGGAATTTTGATATGCACCATCTTATCTGACTCAACTTTCGTACATTCTAGTATCTCCACCATTAATCAACTCAAGAAAAGTACATCATAATTGAAATCAAATTGAAGTGAGGTTTTGTCAAAATGGGTGCTCAATGAATGTTTTGATATTATGGGAACAAGAATATTAATCCTGATGAATAACTGTTTAAAATATGGTGAATTTCCAACAAAATTGAAGTGGACAATAGGAAATATATAGTGACAGTGTTTTTCGACTACCTTTGAACTACTTAATTAAGACAAGTCAAAAACAAAATTGGATCTACATTATCAAGCTCAAAAAAATGTTTATGTTGGTGTACTTGGTAAACTAACTATGATTTATTTCATACATTAATGACATTTGTGATATTTCAGAATATTGGAAAATTCAGATATTTGCCGATGATACAGATACATATCAGATGTAAACACTACTTTAAAGATGCTAAATTCTGACTTGACAAAAATCATAGATTCTAGAATGTAAACTAAAATTGATTGCTTCTAAAACAAAATGTATGCTAATTTTTATACTAAATTTCACTTCTATGAATTTTGGTTTTCCATGAAATATTTTTTCAATTTTCTCTTGAACATTTTCAAACTGGTGCACATCTTGATATCATTTCTTAATTTATTAAATTCGTACAATCCCTTTAGAAACACTGACTTGCTCGTTATATTGCTGCTACAATTTTGTAAATGAAAGTCGATCGGTTACGATGCCTAGAGTACGGAGACCTGTACGATTTCGTCAACTTAGTGAGTTTGATAGGGGCCGTATAGTGGGACTTCGGGAAGCTGGACTTTCTTTTCGGGCAATTGCAGTTAGAGTGCAAAGAAGTGTAGACACTGTGGTTAGGTGTTGTCAGGCATGGCTTCGAGAAGGCCGTACGCAAAGAGCAAGGGGCACTGGACGCCGCCGTAGAACAACAGACCGTGAAGATCGCCTTAAGGGACCGTTTCTCCACTACCAGGTCCATTGCAAATGAATGATTTGCAGAACACGGAAGACCTATTGGCATGCGAAGTGTTTACCGACGAATGAGAAGTTTTGGCTTGTTTTCATACCGGCCACACTGGGTCCTCCCTTTAACTCGAGAACACCGACGTAATCGCCTTGAGTGGTGCAGACAACGGTCACTCTGGGATCAGGAATGGAACAGTATTGTCTTTAGTGACGAGTCTCGATTTTGTTTAGGCATGCACGATGGTCGTGCCAGGGTTAGAAGGCGACGTGGTGAAAGGAGGAATCCACAGTTTTTTGTTGAAAGACATGTTCATCACACTGTTGGAGTTATGGTTTGGGGTGCTATAGCTTATGTTTCCAGGTCACCTTTAATCTTCATCAGAGGTAACATGAACGCGCAGCGTTATATCCACGAAGTTCTAGAACCCCATCTTTTACCCTATCTTGACACCCTGGCAGATCCAACTTTCCAACAAGATAATGCCCGACCACATGTTGCAAGAGTCACAATAGACTTCTTTCAACATAATGATGTCACATTGTTACCATGGCCACCAAGATCTCCCGACTTATCCCCAATTGAGCACGTGTGGGATATGATGGGTAGGAGATTGCTCAATTTGCAACGTCCTCCTCAGACTCTAGAAGCACTTCGAGAGGAGTTGGTGGTTGCCTGGAATTAGATACCACAGGAGGACATTGACCACCTGATCAGAAGCATGCCTAGGCGCGTTGGAGAATGCGTAGCACATCAGGGTGCATCCACACATTATTAAAGGTCAAAGGGCTTTAAAAGCAGTGCATTCATTTTGAAATTTTTATCATTTACTTATTATGCTTCATTAAGTACTTATACAAAATTTTATTAAAATAAAACCATTTAAACTGGGTGTTCGGATTTATATGTCACTTAGTATATTTCTAAATATCTGTTTGTTATGTAATTGTTGCAATTGTATAAAATAATGCAATTGTAGCAATCATACTAAATTAATGTTAAACAAACAAATAAATAACATCAAAAAATCATAATATCGTATTTTCGAAAATTTTCCCAATGACAACAATCCCTCGCCAGTTGCATGAGAAGTAAAAATGTTTCAGTGTCATGTAGCCCTAGTTGGGACAGGAAAAATGAGCTTTCATTGCCTTCTATAAATTTTAACAAAAAACTGTCATAATATTCGTGACCTACGAACCCAATTTATTTGTCCAAGAACTGGGTTTTGATAGAGAAGGTAAATACGCAAGATAAAATTAAAATTCCCTGCTAAAGGTAGCCTGACGCCTGACAGTTATCTAAAACTGTTAATTTGGCATACGTTAATTTTGAAGAAAGTATATATTACCTATGCAATGTGCAGCAAATGGCCTGCACAAATCCAGATGCCCAGGCATATGTTTGATATCCCTCAACCGAACCGCCGCTTCAAGATACACAAACAGTACCCATAATATGACGGTGGGCAGACAAATGCCCTTGTCCGTGTGCCACACGTACTGCACCCACACATACGTGCTGGCGGCAAAGAACAGCCAATGCACTGGGATGAAGAAGAAGCACAGCATGTCTGACGTCAGCGCGATGCACACGAAGAATACCGAAAAGGCCAGTCCCTGGTACTTGAACGAGTCATACACAGAGCGTAACAGCAGGTAGAACGGCCACAGGAACTCGAATCGGAACTCCAAGATGAAGTCGGCCAAAATTACCAACACCCACAGGATGACAAACTTCAAGTATAATACAGTGCTGAAAAAAATTAACAAAGGTTTAGAATTCACTAGACAAGCCTATAACTTCGCATTTATGATAAAAAAATTCCAACTTAATTTTTTTCATAATCTTTTTTTTTTTGACGACAGATCAAGATACATCCTCTTGATCAATAGCCCTGTGCAAAGAACCAGGCACAATCTATCAGTAAAATGGGTTCCAGTTGCTCAAAATTTCAGTATGATATATTTAAAAATGTCCACGGGATCCAAACAATCCTATGATTAGTTTCTGAGAAATAGGCTGATAAAAGTTTGTCTGATTTGCAAAAATGGTGAATGTGTCGACTGTAGTTCTCAGACCAAAAACTCTGAAAATCAGTATACTAAAAGAAATATTTCGTCAAAACACCTTGTAGGAAGAAGTTGAGAGGGGTTATGTTGATCAGGACCATGATCCTTACATGGCCAGCTTCAGGGCAAGTTGATTTCCATATACTTATGCTGGAATATACCTGGCATGAATTGCTCCAGAATTTAGGAAACTTAAAGGACATGTAGCTTTTCAAGGGTACAATTTATGTCTTACTTTTAAAGCATTTTAAGATATAGAAAGATTATCGATTGCATATAAGGTTAGATTTCCCTAAACAAAATATTTACATTGCAAAAAATGTTAAATTCATGCCAGATTACAAAGGATTCGTTTTCTACAGTTTACCAATACTCTATTCGCCATATGAAGTCCTTTGTTACAAAACATTTTTAGAAGCTGTCTAGATTCACTGATGAAAACGACTTTTTAAAGAGAATTCTAAGCTTTTCAAGTGGGAGAAACATACTTGTATTGAATAAGGTATAGCTTGATGTCACTATATTGTTAGATCAGTTGAGTATAAATTGGAATATGCTTTCTCCTCTGGGAGTAAATCAATGGCAGCTGTCCACAGAAATAGCCAATGGCCCTAATGAATAAAAATGTAGGAATTGCTTTGTCTTACAAAATTGAAGGAAAAGCTTAAAAACCTATGAATAAAAATCTGAGTAATTGCTTTTGCCTTCAGTAATTGCTTAAAGTTGCAGCAATTGCTTTTAGATAAAGCTTTTTCTTAAAAAACACCAGCTGTTGCTTAAACATGCTTAGAATGGGATGAATAAAACACGCAATTGCTTTTTCTAGTGTAGTAATTGCTATTAGATATTTAAAGTAGGTCGATCCCAGCTTGCATTTGCTTTTAGTGAAATTTTGTTCGTTCTACTACATATACGGATTGTTTTTACTGATCTGGAATTGGGTAGTTATGGCCGAATATATGAATATTCGTGTAAAAAAAGTATACTGTGTACGTAAAGAGTGCCGAGACAATGATTTCCGAAAATTATATCTCTTTAATCGCGAAAATGTGGAGTTGTTAGCGCATTATTTTTTGGCTGACAGCGGTGAAAAGCGAGGAGGAGCATTATGAGCTGTGAATAAGATGAACATTTTTCTGCGTCAGTTGTCAGATCCTGGCTTTCAAAATACCGTTGCTGAAGAGCTTGGTGTTTGTAAAACATATACTTCCCGTCCTGAACGCCGTTTTGGAGAAGGCCAACATTTGGATTAAATTCCCCAAAAGTGCTGACGACTTTATGGATGCTAAACAACTGTGGTCGGAGAAATACCGTTTCCCAAATTCTATCGGCGCAATAGATTGTACGCATGTCAGGATTCCAAAGTTTGCTGAATTCGAATATATAAACAGGAAAGGATATCCTAGCATCAACATACAGGCAACTTGCAATGCCAAATAAATATTTACAAGTGTAGCCTGTCAATGGCCAGGCTCTGTACATGACAGCAGAATATCTAAAAATTCCAATATATTCAACATTCTTAAAAACAGCACCGAAGAATGTGTATTATTAGGGGATGATGGCTATTCTATATCCCCTTGGATTATGACTCCCTGGAGAAATCCAACAACCCCAGAACAGCAAAATTATAATAACGTTTTTTGTCGAGAACGAGTAATAATTGAACGATGCTTTGGGCAATTAAAAGCAAGATTTCCTGTCCTACAGTATAAAATCCGGAATAAGTTAGAAAAAATACAATCGACAATAATTTCCTGCGTTGTTCTTCATAACATAGCTAAATGTTTAAATGATGAAGATTCTGATTACGTGCATCATGAAGCTGATGCTGAAATTAACTTAGACACTCAATTTAACTACAAATTTAATTCGTCAATTAGGATAACAAAAAAGGCAAATAGTGACTGAAATTATCATGTAACTAACGACTGGTACTTATATTACATGTAGGTACACAATTAAAACAAATCAGAAATACTATACCGCTATTAAACAAATGGAAACAGAACAATATAATTCTTAGGTACCTATATTCAACTTAAATTCAGATTTTATTAGTTTTTGATACTCGATGTAAACCCAAATTAAAAATTAAATCCTAAATTAAATAATTAATAATAATTACAAGTTGTAATACATTTTTTCCTCCGAAAAAGTACTGTTTGGCATAAAGTTACCATCACCTTGCTTCTGTCTCTTAATGATTTCTTCTTGTTGCATTCGACATAATTTCAACTGCTCTAATAGAACTAATCGCTGCAACTTAGCAGTTTATAATTTTTGGGTTTCTTCAGTTTTTGGTAAATGTGATATCTTAATTTTCTTTGCAGGAATAGTAATTTCTTTTGCACTTGAGGGGGCCAGAGTGTCACTGATGGCCGAGGATTCAGCAAGTGTTATCCTTTCGTTGGCTCCAACAGAGACAGCACCTGAATGATTTATTTTGATGTTTAAAAAAACCTACGATACAATAAAGTTTAATTTGCTTTATTTTGCTTTTATTTTTTGAAGATGGGATTCTTATGCACTTCCATCATTTCCATTAACAACTTTTCCCAAGACTTATAGATTAGGTATAGCTTTATTGCCTGTCTTATTAATATCAAATTTCTTCTTAATTTCGGTCTTCATATTACTTTTTTTTTGCTAACTGCTTTGTTCTAAGTGTACGTTAAAAATAACTTTATATTGTACTAAAATTTTTAAAGCAGCCTCCTTTTCTATTTTAACTTGCGGAACTTGCGATTTATTAAGAACGATTTTATGTTCTTTTAATTTATGCACAAATAACAGCTGCTTATCCATTTCTTCCTCATCATGGGATTCGTCACTTCCACTTGAATCAGCCATAATTTTCACTGCCTTTTTTTTATTTTTTACCGAAAAATATGTTTCTAATCCCACCTACTAAGTTGTGCCGAATGTAAGAAACTCGGAACTAAACTGAAATAAATGCGCGTATCGACTCCTAAACATACTTGCAAGTTTAAACGCGCTCAACACATAACAGGTGGGCTGAAAATTCCGTATCGTTTCAATGAAAAAATATTTTTTTCGTCAAAATTCGCTTTTATTATTCAACATAGTTGCCTTCAAGGGCTATACAGCGATTATAACGTTCTTCAAGTTTTTCGATACCCTTCCGGTAGTAATCCTTCGGCTTGTCCTCAAAATAGGCTTCAGTTTCGGCGATGATTTCTTCGTTGCTGTGAAATTTTTTTCCGGTGAGCATTCTCTTAAGGTCTGAGAAGAGGAAATAGTCGCTTGGAGCAAGGTCCGGAGAATACGGTGGATGGGGGAGCAAATCGAAGCCCAATTCATGCAATTTCGACATCGTTTTCATGGACTTGTGGCACGGCGCATTGTCCTGGTGAAACAAGATTTTTTTTTTCTTCATTTGTGGCCGTTTCTTGGCGATTTCGGCCTTCAAACGCTCCAGTAACACTATATAATAGTCGCTGTTGATAGTTTGGCCCTTTTGAAGATAGTCGATGAAAATAATTCCTTGCACGTCCCAGAAAACAGAGGCCATAACCTTGCCTGCTGACTGTTGCGTCTTTCCACGTTTCGGAGGTGGTTCGGATGCAGCCGTCCACTCGGCCGACTGGCGATTTGACTCCGGTGTGTAGTGGTGGAGCCATGTTTCATCCATGGTGACGTATCGGCGAAAAAAATCGGTTTTATTGCGCAAAATCACCTCCAAACAGGCCTCAGAGTCGTCGATGCGTTGTTGCTTTTGGTCAAATGTGAGATTGCGCGGCACCCATTTCGCACAGAGCTTTCGCATATCCAAATATTCATGAATGATGTGACTGACACGTTCTTTTGATATGTTTAAGGCCTCAGCTATGTCAATCAACCGTATTTTGCGGTCTCCCAAAATTATTTTGTGGATTTTTTTCACGTTTTCGTCCGTAACGACCTCTTTTGGGCGTCCACTGCGTGCGTCGTCTTCAGTTGACATGTGACCGGTACGAAATTTAGCAAACCACTTGCGAATGGTTGCTTCGCCCGGGGCAGAGTCCGGATAACACTCATCAAGCCATTTCTTGCATTCGACGGCACTTTTTTTCATCAAAAAATAATGTTTCATTAACACACGAAACTCTTGACTTTCCATGGTTTTCAAAAATAACAAAAGTAGCGTCACTCTCGATACGATAACTCAAAAACCAATGATCCGACAGCTGTCAAATTTTGACAGGCATCTTTTGAAGGTTGGTACTAGCTAAGAAGCGTATGGATTTTATTCTGGTGGCGCCATCTCATAGAAACGATACGGACTTTTCAGCCCACCTGTTAGATATATAAGCAATTGCGTTTAAGATTCGGGAAATACAGCATTTGCTTAAAAATATTATTCATTGCAAAATTTAGCAATTGCTTTTCCTTACAGCAATTGATAGTTAAGCAATTGCTTCTGCCAAAAAGTAATTGCTTAAAGTAATTGCTTAGTTTTTATTCATTAGGCTCAATGAATCTCATTTAGGCCCGTATCGTCAGTCGTCCCTACAATTGTAGGGCGCGTTTATGGCCTCCTTGATTGTCATACTTCTTTTTCTCCTTCAAAAATTTCTAGATTACACTTGTCCCGTGTCAGCGTCAGCGCTCTCCTATTGTGAAGATATGTTTTCTTTTTAAATTGTAGGAAATTTCAGGCTGATAAAACATGATATAACT